GAAGCTTGCACTCTGACAGCCGGTAGGTGTCCATTCAGTTCAGCAGGAGCCCAATGATACGAGACGTCCAACATGCATGCCTGCACGTTCGCTAGCTGAGCCGAACCCATCTGATCCGCTGTAACCTCAACGTATCAGTTATTCAATTATTGTAAGTTCATCCATCCAACGTGCAGGTCTGGTGATAATGTCGCACGCTATTCTCTCCCTTTACTTACTTGGAGACAGCTTTGTTATGAAAAACGACAGATGGGATTTTACTGGTGTATGATTAAACATGTTTTGAAAGCCGATGGATAGTCTAGTTTCCTCAGTACCTCCACGACCTGGTTCCGCTATTGAAAATTGTCTGTGGTTCTTGTTCCATTGCGGACGCATCAGTGGCACTCTTCAGTTTAGTCATTGAATATTGCATTTTTCATGTTGCATCACGCGCAGCTGCGTCGCGGTTTCTTAGCTCACAGTGCAAAGGAACCGAAATCGCAGCCCTAAACATATTTGGGATCGATGTGACATCTGCCGTTTTCTGTTCGTTGTATGTGAGCACTACCACGTACGATCTATTCCACACCAATGAAATCAAGGAGTTTTCATCAACTTCCCCCTTACACATGGGGCCGACCGCCACCGTCCTGCTATCACGCCTTTAAGCCAAAGGACGCTTCCTGATACGGCTGTTAATAGATGTCAGTGGCGTTCTTGTTGTCATTTCCTATCCAGATTGCCTGAATGAATGTCTGGATGTATGGGCACTGCGAACTAATTGGTAAGCTGGCACTATCCCTTCCCTGTCCACTTTTATTCTTTCTGCGCAGTAAGGCGGCGAAGCGTCACACATACATACAACTACATACTAGATACATACATACATACTACATACAACTACCCACACCCACTGCTTTGTGTCCAATTGACATGCCTCGTCCCATTCTTTTTAATACGGCCTATAATGTTCCTACCTTGATTAAGCCGAACAACAAACCGTGTTTCCCGCACTCCCTGTGATTTCTAATCAGACATTTGCTGCTGTGGCCGTATGAGCCACAGACAGTATCCGGGTATGGTGATTAGAGTTACGGGACAGTAGTCTAGTTAGCATCGTCTGCATCATTCCGGTTATTCCAACTGCTGCTGTTGGTGTGGCTGTGAGCTCCCGGGTTAGGTATTCCTTGTTTTTGATTGCATGCCCGTAAATAGTCATTTCTCTACTGTTTTTGTGCCTACTTCCATAGGGAATCGCACCAGTTGGTATGATAACCATCGCTTGTTCCTAGTCTCTGCTCGTGCCCCAACTGTGTATGTCATCCAGTGATAAACTTACCAAGAAGATCTTGGTGTCCGCCATGAGGAGTTCAGTTATGGTATCGATCTCTGCATATATTGGTGCGCAAATAAAGTGCCTGAGTTCGTCGGAGGCACGGCTTGTTGGTACGTTTAGATGGGACTTGTGTAATGGTGATGGTGAGCGTCTTTCATAACCTTTACTACCCGTTAGTATTTCTTCAACAGCACCGTTGCGCTACCTGCCACCCTATACTTTTGAGCAGCTTTGAGTTTGGATCGATCTCACCCGACTGCCGTGATGCATAATTTGCCTGAGATCATGTCCACGCCCGAGGTAGTTCTCTCCGAATTTCCCGAGCAAACTTCCCACTAACAGTCGAAAATCTTTTCAAGTCAAGTATCGAGGAAACAACAAAGTCTATGTGGTGCGCTGAAAGCGCCAGTTCCAGAAGACTGGTCGATAAGCTAACAGCCGCTATCCGTGGCGTTTAGAACCCGGCATATGGTGTCGTCTAACCACTGGGACTTCGGAAAAATCACTGTCACTTGAAGCAAGACGTTGTATCGTTTTGAGATTGCATTATTATTCATAATTCGCCTGGACGGTTTGTTAGACGTCCAGTCAAACGAATATTGTGCGGACATGAAGGTCTTGGAGAGTCTGACAGCCAGAGGAGAGCTAGTACGGCAGGGGCTGTTCCAAATCATACGTAAAACAGGACCAAGGCACTCTATTGATGAGCGAATCAAAGATTCAAAGAAATTTGTCGTATGATTACAGCCAAGGGCTTGATCATGGGCGGAATATTTTCAGCAGTTTAGTTGATCCTGTCTTACATTCGACCCGTTCAACTTAGCCCAGGAGTCATACCCGTCTTCCTTATTCCCATGTTTCGCGCCACGATTGACAGCTAGTTGTGCGAAAGTTTTTCTGGCTAGCGAGACTCGGTAGGGTTAATGAATCAGTCGAAATTTCTTCCACTTAAAAAGTTTCTATGTGGACGACACTCTTGTTTGACGACCAATCCAAACAGTTTACCAGAAACGAAATTTCGGAAACCGTTCCTTGTTTCCACATACGCTTCACACATTCATAGTTCAAAGCACTGCGTCGAGACTCCCCTTTTCCCCCCCCCCCCCCC